CTCAGTGATTTATGAATATCTTGAATTCGAATTATAGAGGTTCTGAAATATTTAAAGAACCCCATAAATACAATTGTTTCAACAAAATTCACCCCTCATATCATTCAATTTAATCTCGACATACATTTTTATATTTTGATACGCAATCGTAAACTCACTCATTTAATATTTAATTTCGTCGCCGTTTGTCATACAAGAAGACTAACGACTATCGGTGCTTAATTGCCATATGAGTGCACATAAAATCTAATCTATTATTTTATGTCGTTTCCATGTTCTAATACTAAAACAACACGAAAAAGCAATCAAAATAGAGGCATCAATGTTCAAAAAATTAGCTGAAACGTAAACGTTGTATTATACAAAATTGATTTTGCGGTTGTGTTGTTTTGCCGTTTGATTGTGGACTTTCCGTTTTGCGTTTTCCTCGGAGTTCGGTATTTTTGTTATTTTTATTTTTACCATGCATTGGTTTCTCTTGTGGCACCTTTTCCTGTTGTAGATAGAACTACATCAGAGTTGCTTACCTACTTACTTGTGAGTTTGAAAGCAATCCGCTACAGACAACGAAGATGAGCCAGATCTAAGATTAGGGAAAGCACATAGGAAATATTTGATGAGAATATAAGTTTTTTTACCTGCATCTTTAACCCGGTTTAATGCCAATTCATGGTTATAATGTTCCCCTGAAAAGAAGAAATCAAGAATTGAATACTCTAAATAAAAATGTTTACTACTACTTAGTTCGTACGAATAATTTTCTGTTAGATATGGTTCCAAACACTAAACTCCTCCCGTCAATCTCACATGCATACATACCATATTACCCATTTCTATTTTCAAGTTTTCTATTGTTGATCATCTAAACATACCAACAGTAACCTGAATTTCTAGATATTTTCGGTAAATTTATCATTTATTGAGGATAGCCTTTCTCATAAGCTCTCAATCCTTTGAATTGTTTTCTTTAGTTTTTAATGGGGAGGGAGGCAATATATTTTGTGCTATATTAGAGTAAATCCTTTTGGACGTTCAATTTTAAAAAAATTGAATATTTTTTCTGTATTTTAAGACTTTTTAAAACCTGTGTTCTTTAACCTACTGGCCTGAATATTGATAGTTTCCTTCCATTTCATGATATATTACTATATTCCATTATACCGTAACAAATTGAAAAAAGGGAAATTAACAGAAATTAACAATTTATATTTGTCCAAGAAGTGGTAACTTTTGTTTTTGACAACTTTAGACAAATTTGGTTATTTTATCCAACACCTTTTCCATATTCAATGTTTAACATTCTTTTCTGTCATACTCAAAATAGATACCAAGGCTTTTAATTGGTTTGTTTGTCTAATTTATATTTTCATATTCATCTTTTGAACTTTTTAATCTCCCTAACCTTACCCCTTCGGTTTATTGCCTGAAAAACTTCTAAAAGTTTTAATTATACTAAGAGCCTAACTTATTCTTTCCGTGACTGATGAAAAAGTGTAGTATCGTCAGATAATTAGCAAATTTTTAAATTACAAGATTTTCCATCAAATTTTAAATTTATTCCTTTAAAATTTGTATTACTTCTTAGTCATATTGCCCTTTATAACACTAACGGTACCAATTTTTCTGCACCAGATTCGAATTTCGACAATAAATGTCTCTTTAGTGATGCTCGCGATCGAGGCAAAATATTTAAAAATCAAAAGCTGTTATAACAAAAAAGTTGGTATACATAGTTTTAACCAATCTGATAAAGCTGGTTTTAAATCAACCCTTTTTATAGTTTCCGTCATAAATGTCCATTCTAAAGAGGAAAAGCCTTTACTAATATGAAAAAAAAGAAATACTTCTTCTATATTATATCTGTTAGAATAATCTATAATACCTTGTATTTGTCTGATGTTAAAACCAATATATCTATTTGTTCTTTTTCTGATCGACCATCGGTACCCTGTCGGGCGAGATTTACTTCTGAAGTTGTCCCGGTTTTCTTTTTATGTTTGCGCTTATTATTTACATAGATTATCTTTCATTCTGTTTATTTAAAGTCCAATTGACGGGTTGATTCCTACGAGTGGTAGAACTGATTTAATGATCTGGTAGTTGTTTTGAAGTTTCCGTTCTCAACTCATCAGTCTACGAACTATGCATTCCACATTGTATTCAACTTGGTCGGTCAAAGTTGATTACACGGATCGATGCTCGGTAAAAGATGTGTGCGAGTTGAATGACAAATTATAATGATGTTAGTGACCACACAATAATTAACACACGTTGTTTATTAACGGTATTTAACATCATAAAATGCGAAGAATTACAAAGCATTGAAATACAATACCTTCTGCTTCAATGGCTAATGCAAACTTAGGAAGCCAGACGTTCATATCTCCAGTACCATTTGTGTAGGTAAATGGTCTAAGATAGCTAGGTATCTCACATACCTCCTTTAAAACTGGAATGATGACATTTTCTTTCATTTCAGCTAACAACTGAAAACTGAGTCCACTTATCAGTAAAAAAAAGGAAAAATGAAACAAAGTATTTAAAGTTTTGGCCTTTTTTAGTCTTGTGTATATTTGTTTTTTAAATTCAGTTCATTTCTATGTTTTGGAGTTTAATGTGACGTCCATTTTCACTGGACTAGTACACACTTTTGTTTAGATGCCACCTGAAGCCGGCCTCCGGGTGCGGTCGTTTTGAAGACTCATTGGTGGCCTTGGGCTGTTTTTTGCTACTTAGTCGGGTTGTTGTCTCTTTGACATATTCCCCATTTCCATTCTCAATTTGTTGATTTAAGTCACGTCCACAACAGAATTTAGTAAATGTTTTAAGTGATTTATGGTAACGAAATCCTTGACATAATAATTTTCCAGTGATGCATTGTATCATAACGTTTGTTAAAATCTATGATATCACTAAACACACGGGCATAACGAAAGAGCTGTGATATATAAACACCGTATGATGGAGCCAACGTAACATCAAGGCTTAAAATGGAAAATTAACAATAGGAAATAAAAAATAGTCTCTTTTGTTGTAAATTTAAGTATAGAGTTTCCCTTTAGAAATTGAAATGTCTAAATCTAGAAAAGAACAAACAACTGCTGTTTATGTTAGATTGTTTAATCGGTTATTCCGGTAGTTTATTTAGAGAAATCTGGATTATTTAACGACAAAATGCCCATGGAAATACCTACTACTAGTCGATAGATTTTATTGCCGAAATGTACATATATGTTGTCTTGGAGACAATTTAAAGCCTCAATCATATCTTCACATTTTCAGTAAGTGCATATCTAGCATACTTTCCATTTTCGTTACACTGAAAATATTCAATATTACCTTATGATCACATTGTGAAGCGTGATGCATAAAATATATACTGCACTGTATATAAATCCCTTTAATACAACGATATTAAATGTTGACAATTGCTTTGCATCACGGTGCGGGGCTATAAGTTTCATTCGACATGCACGCCATCTTGAAATAATTACTTATAATATATAGATTCTGATTGGTTGCTTTTATGATGTAGCTGAGATACAGAAACAACTATAGGCTTAAATGAGATAAAGAATTACAGACTTTTCTCGTCTCGGGATAAGACATCAAATGCCGGAAAATTAACTATGTGTATTTCAGTTCCGATCAACTGTCATTAATTCATGTACGTTTTATTATGCATATATTGCACACTGAAATTTAATATTGAAATATCAATTATTAATACGTGTTTATTTGCTTTGTTAATCTGCAATATACACGAATTGTTTTGCTAAACAATGTTCATATGTGCAATGTTTACAAAAATGCATTATCTGTATTTTATTACTCCTGCCAATCTAGGCATACCTCCAGAGAGGCACACCTCATGTCTATTTGTAAATGTTTTAATATTTATCAAGTAAAGTGAACAAAATTTTAAAAGCATGGGTGTATAACGCACACTCTTAAAGTTAATCCATTCCATATCAAATAATATCTAAAAAGACCACATTTCAAATACTAAATCAACAACCACATGCACACATATTACCTTAAATTAGGATAGTGCGAAGCAGTTCATAGCTTTTTAGAAAGCTCAAACGTGTATTCCTTTTAGCTTAACAAGATGTTCGGTGCATAGATATTAGTATATGGCTCATCATAACCAGAGACATGGAAGATTTTTTTTTATATTAGACTCAAACAATATACATATACATCTTTATTAAAGATGTACAACACAAAATATTCTGTCTCAACAGAATAAAATGTTAAAATATAGTAACGATATAAATCCGTGGTAAAGTGTCTGCTTGGTACTGTGTTTTCTCTAGTGAATCGGTGCACTTTTCCAAAGTGAAGATCGGATATTATCAAGTGAAATTACATAATTATGATAAATCGATTTACTCTTATTACGCTGAGTCGGGAACATGTTGTTTAGTGGTTTTCGGTTGTTGAAGTGGTTCATTCGTGCTTCACTTTTCTTTCTTTTTTATAGATAAGACTGTTGGTCTTCCTGTTTGCATGGTTTTACACTATACATTATGGGGCCCATTACATCTTGCTGTTTGGTGTGAGCCAAGGCATCGTGTCCAAGGCCGTACTTTGACCTATAATGATTTACTTTTTAAAAATTAGGACTTGGATAGAGAGTTGTCTCATTGGCACTCGTACCACATTATATTTAATTCCCTTCAAAAATGACACGGACGCGAGTTGGTTGATCGTTATGGAACATCTGTTTCACAGATGATGACGGATATGTTCCAATTATCGGAACCACAATCCTGTCCTCTTGTCCTCGAACGTGCCAGAGCTTGTAAATAAACTAATCATAGATAGACCTATCAGAGAGTTTGTACTTTAACGAGCAAACGACGGATGCCACTTATAGAGCAGGATCTGCCTACCCTCTCGTTATACCTGAGAACACCAACGTTTTCTTTTTGAGTTTGTACAGGACACAAATTTACTTTACATCACAATGTCATTATTACTTATTAAAACTTAAGTCCTCTATATTGTTTTATTAATTCCCTGTATATATTTCTTTCGGTTGAATAAACTGTGATAAAACACATGTAAGAGACACTCCTCTCTTGTAATTTCACGTCATATCCATTCGGAACATTGCAATCAGCATTTCCCTTTAAAACATTTGAAAAACAGGTTCTACCACTCGGGAAACCTCTAATTTAAAATTTTGAACAGTTATTTATTCCGAATGGATACAATTCGTACTAAACTGAGTTGTTTGATGGATCAAATCAATGACCCTTGATTAGTTTAACAAATATAAAGATATAAAACAATGCTATAATGCTCATGGCTTGCTGTTGAAGTCACAATTACTAGGACATATGTAAGTTAAATAATATTATAATCATATATCTTACAAAACATTTTTCATGAACAAAAAAATATATGTTAAAAGTTCTCCGACCTAACACGATCTGCATTTTTTTTAAATTCAAGTGACTCAGCAAATTGACAAATACATTTTGCTTTTGTTGCATGCCTATTATTGTCACCAGCATGTTCTAGTTTTTCATTCATATAGTCCTTGAGGTAGGCACTAGATAAGTCCAATAGGTAATTTGTTACCGTCTCCTGCAACAACAACAACAATATAATATGTAAAACAAATAAACAGATCTATATAGCTATGCATGTATATGTTTAACAAATATGCAAAAAAGTCAAATAAATGTAAAATAAATGCACGCTCGCACATGTATTAAATAATGAATACAGTCGTATACATGTGGAACACATATGCAGTAATAAAATGTCAAACAAATATTCAGTCACATGTATAAAATTAAAAAAAAACTCTCGTAAAATCATTTAAGATAATTGAAGTATTGTTTACTTGATATCAGTTCTTTATTGGCCAAAATTCAATTAAGACGTCAATTTTTTTTTTGCTTTTCTCTGTTTTCATATAGTTGTTGCGTAATGAACGACGATGACAATTCCTGAAATGTCCAAAAAAAAAAGCAAAAGTTACCAAAGGGGGAATAAAAAATCATTAGATTATCAGTTAAAACTGTCACATGTTCAGTGAACTGTAAAATTAAGTTTATAAACGTGATTTTGCATAAAATTTAGAAATTTCATATCTGAATGAACATGTATAGATTTTGATAATTATTGAAGGCTGTATTTTGAACTATAGTACTTGTTAACCTCTACGTCATTAGATTTGAATACCTCTGATGACAAAACTTCATTGGCAAGTTTCAGGACATTTAAAACTACATTGACCAAAACAATAATCTGATACGGAATAACAGACGAACGAACAGATCATAAAACATAATGCCCCATTGCTATTTAAATCAGGGCATGACAAACGTGTAAAGTCGTAAACATTTTTTTAAAACAGTTATACAGCCTCACATATGTAAAACAAATACACATTTGATTACAAATATTAGCATCCTTCACGATAAACTAAAATAAAACAGCTGAGAGGTATACCATCAACTTGCCACTGTACATCATGTCCTGTGTAACACCCCTAGAGAAAGCCAACGAGGAAAAGCATTTATCGTCTAACGAAAGCTACATTTTTATATAGCCTAGTTGGTCGAGTGTTCTACGGCGCTGGACACAATGCAATCGGTGTTGCCACGATGCATCAGATGCAGGTGTTCGAATTCCTCTGAGGAAAGACCAAAAACATTTGCAGATCGAACATTGTTGGGATAAATTCGAGACGAAGTATATTATGTTATTTCTATCAAAATGTTAAGAAAAATCTAACAAAACGGTGCAAAGAATGTATTTATCTAAATTTATAATTCGCAAAAACCTACATTGTAGATTAAACAATTTAAATTTGCTGAAAGCTCGGGAAACTAGTCTATGACATATAGCTTTCGTTAGTCGAGTGACATCGTCAGATTTACCATGGTTTATGACACAGTTCATGGTGTATAAGCAGTAAAGGATGGCGACATTGTATATATCGTAATTACGTATGTCCATACCTGTTCATCACATGTAACTGAATCCCCAGTTATATCATCTAATAGTGCTTCATCATCATCGTCATTCATATTAAGAACTACCATTTCACGGTTTTGACTCTCTCGGATTCTTTTGTTATGTAGTTCTGACGCCATGTGATTCTACAATATAAATGATATTTGGTATACGTATGTTCAGTGATAATTCAATATCGAACCAAACAGCTATTATGAATTGACCAGCACTCTATGATCAAACAATACTTTTTTTAAATCAGGCTCAATCGTGCAGTCAATTTCAAAACAATGCCACAGAAGTAAATTCAACACTATTAAGTTACTCCCTTGTTATCTAGTAACATCGGTTATTTTCTGAATGTTCAGCAGGAGTTTTGTACTTCTGCAAAACAATAAATACTGAATTGTCTCGACAGCGAATTAACAGTACTAAATATACCTTAGATAATTATCAGAAATGTAACTTAAACTCTCACCTTGACTTAACATTGTTTAAAACATCAGACATGTATACAATGTAATTCATTGATAAATGTGTTGAATAAAGATAAGAAGCGAGATCTTTTGCAGAATTAAATAAATTAAAATAAGGAAGCAAGTTTTGTATACCCTTTTTTATTAAAGTATTCCAAAAATGTGATATGAAGATCGATATAATAGTTATAATTTACTTTTAGCTGACCATACTCTAAACATTATTTCATTAGTAAAAAGAAAATTAGCGGTCAGTTAAATATGAATAATGAAAAGAAGCAGGACAAGGAATGTTCGATTGAAATTCAGATTCTCAATCATTTGTTTTCTAGATTTTCTACACACAGCAGTGCAGTAAATTCGAAAAAAATCACCCAATCCGTTTCAAGTAAATTAAAATCATTGCCTTCCGGTATCTGTATTTTACTGTGCTAAAAAAAAAATAATGAATTGCTCGATAAATCACCTTCTTTGTTCTGACGTCATTTTGTACAACAAAAATAGCATTTACACCAAAATGTTAAAAAAAAAAAGTATTTAAAGGAAATATAAATGCCATGAACGTGTCCTTTCTAGATTAATTCTCTTAAAATAGTATTACGTTTTATTAAATTTCAATTATATTATTTGGCCCCTTTAGATAAACTAGGGTTAGGAAACCCTTGTCCATTTTTAAAAGTTAAATGAAATGTATCGAAACATGTGTAATGTAATGTACTTTTCTTTTTCTTTTTCTTTTTCAGGGAACCGTCGCCTAATTTCTATGGTGGATGAAATCCTTTTAATTGTAAATTATATTTTTAGCAACATTATTAGCCATGTGCCCTCAGACCTCCTAGCGAGTTAGACAGGGTCGGGGAAACATTTGTCCAATTTATTTTAGGGTAGCCCGAAAAGAGTGTTCATGTATATTGGGACTCTGTGTGAAGTATTGGTAACAATTTTGGTTTCCAAATACCTGACTTTGTATAGTACATGGAGCATTTAGTCCTTGCTTAGTTATATTGTTTTATACATGTCAGGTTAAAAAAACGCAATAATACATGTTTTATTTGTTCTTCAAAGTATACAAGTATTTCGAACACTTGAAATAAAAAAAAATCTCTTAATAAATGTACAGTTCGGGAAGCATCAGTTAACAGTGCTTGCTTTTCACTTGTATTTATAGGGTTCAGTGTTAATCTATGTCTTCAATGGAGAAAAGAGAAGAACATATATGAATGAGGCAATCAAAAACTAGAAGGCAAAGAAGACAGACAATTATATATTGTTCAAAATTAAAAAGAGAAAGAATCCAACATCAGTCCCACAAAACACTATACACACACGATTGGGCAAAGGAAATATACACACAAGCCATGTGTGTACTCGTGTATTCTACAGTCATATTTTCCTGTCCTATAGGAGACACCCGTCGTGATACTTTTAAACTTTGTTGATAAGTCGTGTAACTCCTGTAGGGACCGACGTTAAACTATGTTCAACAGAGGAAGTTAGATAATAATCTTCAAGTTGACACCAAAAATCCGAAATTTTACAGGAAGTTACAACGCACGTTCACAGAACATGTATATTCAATTCTATGGAAAAACATCTGTTTTTTCCAAAAAAAATAATGAAAATCATTTGTACAATTTGAAGAATTTTAAATAATAAGTAGACGAAACTTACACTAAGATGAAATCACAAATTACAGAAAAAAAAAAAAAAAACTTTTGCTTGCGTACCACAAATTCCACTACACACTGATATTGAACTTTCTGGAAGTTTACGACACTCCTGTTTTTTTTCAGCTGCGTTTTAAATAAGCAATTATGGAATAAAAATGATGAATGGAACTGGGCTTAAAAACGAAACCTCCGAATTATATTGCAATTATAGTTTTGTTCAAACTTATAATGAATCATGTAGTGACTGTCCAAGATCTTGTCTGGTCTTGTATCGGTAAACTTGTTTTTTTAATGAACAATTCTGTCTATCAATACGCCCTCAACAGCTTAACAGTTGTGCATCGACAAAAACTGACACATTCCAACATATTTATTTAGTTTAGCATTCCTAAACCATATGGTAATAGTTGATCAGACTATTTCCTTTCGTAACCAACCACAAACCAAATATTGATCTGTCATACACGTTTAATAAGAAAAACAAGATTTTCTGAACACTAAGCTTACAATGGAAGCCAAAACAAAATACACTGGTTCCTAAAATATTTTTCTATTCTTGAAAGAAGTTATAGTATTAATGCATTAACCAGTACGTATAATTAAATTCATGTGTTTCAAGATAAGATACGCAAGATGTAACTTCAATTAGCTTAAATGTCTTTCAAACTATGAATAACTGGTGCAACCAATTAATTTTTCTAGAAAAAGGAAATTTATATATCATAAATATCTTATATACATTTCTCTAATTCTTTGAAAATTTATCCCTTTCTGCACCCATTGTATAAAAAAATAATCAACGTGTGGTTGCCAGTGATCTCATAAAATGATTGGATGAGTTTAAGGGTCATAACATTTATCAGCTCACTGCATGAATCAAAATATGCTAACAGGTGTTAATGAAATTGACAACTTTGTGGAATGTGGAAGGCACTCAAAGGGTATTTTCGTTTAACAAAAAATGAAAATTTATTTTTTAATCATTAGAGAAACAGATTCTGGTTAGTAGTTACTCGTCGATTATCGGATTTATCCAATCTCAATAGTTAAATTATAAATTTTAAAGTCCGAGCCTCGAACATTGATAATTTAACTATCTCGATTGGAAAAATCCGATAATCCACTGGTATCAATGTAATAATCTATAAGTATATATATATATGAATCAAAACATTCGTACATAGACCATAGATATTATAAATACTTACTACACATGATGTCATGTCAAAAAATAGAAAAAAAATCTGATATTATGCTAAGGAAATATTATAACCTATGTCGTTTTTGTTTTAACTATATTTTGCATTAAGCTAAATGACTACCTAGTTAAAAAGCAATTGAAAAGGTTGCCTAGGACCAACAACAAGGTCAATACAGAAAAATTAGGAAATTATATCTTTATTAATAAACTATGGTGTGTATCAAGAACTGGACCATTCCCAATCTGAGTTTTCTTATACAAGCTGCAATATCAAATGATCTGGTGCTGTTTCGAGGTGTCTTCCATTTTTCTGTTTCTGGAAACCAAGGATTCTTTTTTATTCTTTTAAGTTACAGTGTTTATCATGACTTTCGAGAAAAAATCCAAAATCATTTCGAAATCCTGTAATGACCAAATCAGAGCTCGACCAATTAAAAAATATCAATATTGAGCGAGTTATTTAATATTGGGCGAGTTGACACTTTTGTATTGCACAGGTAGTTTTCATTGTTTTAAGTAGATAATTAATTACAGATACCTTAAACACTCGTAATTGAAAGTAAAACCTAACGAGTTTATTTAAACTGAAATACTCAAAACGAAAAAGGAGTACAGGACATACAGTATTTATTTTAGAAGGATATGCCGTACAGAAATTGCCATTATGTTTATTAAATGTATAATCATGGTAATCATGGTAAGAGGGAACGAGAAATGTACATGATGTTAGGTTGTTTTTTATTTGTTTTTGTCTTTTGGTTTTTTTAATTTTGCTTTCTCTTCGTATTTTATTTTTGTTTAAAATATTATTGATCTTCGTTAGCTGTAATGATAATATAAATATATTTTTTCAGTTTGAATAAAATGTAAGATTTCGGCCTAAATATAACTTATTTCATAATATCTTGCTTCTTTGTTAAATGTTAGGTTCTTATCCGTACATCTTTTTGTCAATTATAGATTTAAAACTATTGATTTGCAAAGGATACAGTAAAATTAGCAGTCAATCTTTGTCTTTTATAAGTAACCATGACCTTATTTGGTAAAAGTCTTCTGTTAACCTCAAGCAAAGTGTGTTTCATCTCAAGTCGCCCCTGTATTGAAAAGAAGAATACATTAAGATATTAAATGATATTTAAGATAACAATACAATAACAACTGGTTCGTAATTTTATTATGCTGTTTATGTGTACTGTCTTAAATTAATTTTAGATATTCGTTGTTATTCTGTGGCTAACATGTCGAAATGTACTATTATATTATTTATTTATGTATTTCTCTGTCCGAAGTGTTCATGCATTTATTTGTACTGTATTCCTGTCATATAATGTTGTCATTTTAGCGGAATATTAAACATTGCCATAAAGCGCGAGGTTTGGCTAGCCACAAAACCAGGTTCAATCCATCACTTTTTCATAAAATGTCCTGTAACAAGTCAAGAATAAGGCAGTTGTTATCTAATAGTTCGTTTCTATGTATGTTACATTGTCGTTTGTTTTTGTTGCACCTCAGTGTTTCTGTTGTTTTCCTCTCATAGTTGATGTGTTTCCCTCGGTTTTAGTTTGTAACCCATATTTGTTTTCTCCTAATCGATCTATGACTTTTGAACAGCGGTTTAAAGTAAAATCACAAAAATAATGAACTCCGAAACGTTTCTAATCAAATGGCAAAATCAAAAGCAAGATTAAACGATGCAGTACTCTGTCAGATAATTTTAGAAAAAGGGAAATTCCACTTACACTAGTAACTAAATATAACCCCACAGTTATAAATCTTAACAGAGCTCTTAAGAAACATTGGCAAATTTTGCAAACAGATGAATATTGTAAAACAATATTTAAACAGATGCCTATCATTGCGTATAAACGCAGTAAAAATTTAAAAGAGCACCTAGCAAAAACAAGACTTTTAAATAGGGAGACTTTTGAGAAGGGACCCTTGCTAAAATAGAACTTAGCTAAAAAATCCCGAAACACCGTTAATTAGTTATATATATATTTCTAGTAAAAAGGCAATTAGTCATTACGACTCTGTAAAAACGGTGTCAAGTCTTGAGGTTTAAGTATGTATGTTGTCGATGGGAATCTATGCATTTGTGGAAAGTTTAACCCAAATGTCTGTAAATCAAATTTCTAAACAGACACTGGCATACTACTGTTGCCTATATTTGAAAGATATTTCTTTCGAACAGGTTCCACAAAAGAAAAAGATTCCCAACGGCCATATATGTACCAATCATTATTTATACATATACCAAACTAATTGCAACCATAATTTTCCATCACAAACACGTGATTGTAAATGTGCTAGCTCCCCATTCATATATAATCTTGTCAATGATACTTTTTTGCGAAATATGTTATTCAAAGGCCCGAAATATCGTGAACCTAAATCCATCAATTGGAAACACCGCTTAAAAAAAGAATTAGACTTATTACCAGGTTTGTACTAACGTGAGCAACACGATGGGTGCAACATATGGAGCAGAATATACTTACCCTTCCGGAGCACATGAGATCATCACCAGTTTTTGGTGGGGTCTGGGTTGCATAGCCTTTAGATTTATTTTCTACTTGAGTTTGAAGTAAAATCACAAAAATAATGAACTCCGAGGAAAATTCAAAAAGGAAAGTATCTAGTCAAATGGCAAAATCAAAAGCTCAAACACATCAAACGAATGGATAACAACTGTCATATTCCTGACTTGGTACAGGCATTTTCTTATGTAGAAAATGGTGGATTAAACCTCTGAAATCTTCCGTCTCTCTTTAATAAGTAATAGTTGTTGCACCAAAAACATACCTAATAAAGAAGCAATTTCTAAACATAAATAGAAGAAAAGCTGATAACGACTTGATGTGGTATGACAAAAATACTTCACGGAAGTTCTTTAGAATACATTCAGGTTCATGTGCTCCACAGAGAGTCACATAGTAAACAATCATATCATTACCAGATCTCAACTCAATGCCTCCTCTGGACGTCTGGATTTGAAGGTCCCCGTTATGAATTAGTTACCTACACATAAAAAAAAACCGAAAAATAGAGTTTCATCTCGGCCTAATGTAAGTTATCAACAACTTATCCTTAAGCGCTTTTAATAAGTTCCATAACTACTATCAAATAACTTATCATTCATTATATAACATTTGTAAAAATCATATGAAAATAGTGAAATTAACAATTTTATTATTAGAAAAATCGGTGGAGGATTTAGATAAACTACGTGCTTTTGATGGTCCTTTTAATTCGGTTGACACTTTTGACTTTTCTACTATAAAACAAAACACTTTCACACAATAATATAAAAAATGTTGTCCTATTAAATCAAATAGTCGTTTTAAACAAATCTGACTGAAATGAAACTGTTGTACTCATGTAAAGCCTTGTTTTCTAATTTGAAATAGTAAATAAGCTAGATATTCATACTGGTAGTATGAAGAGATGATTAAGCTGTAAAATTTCTCCTTCACAACATCTATATAACGAATCACAATTTATGGCCGAACAACTATATCTAGATATATTTCAGTTTTACATGGAAAACTCTACAGAAACATGTACGACAAAATTAAAAAGGAGTATTCATTAATCAGTCTGCTAACTACAATTCTGATTTACAGTCTTATGAACCAACTAATGTTGCACAACTTTATATAGCAGAACTGGACTAAATTTGACACGTGTATTTTTTATTACTCAGTATATTAGCTTTCTTTGATCTATGTTTTAATGAACAATGAAATACCAGAAAAAGGGACAATTATTTAATCTTAATTGTTCAAATCTAGTAGTTTTAAAAAGTATGTATATTTATATATAATGCCTTCTAAGCTGACAAATTCATCAATTTGCTGGGATACATTTTTGAGACATCTTCAATAAACACGCTTTAGACAGATAATCACTTACATTTACATTTTTTGATATCGCTAAGTTTCTTAATTTTAATTTTAAATACGTCCATGTTTTGTTAAACTTATTTTATAATTTATTAATATAAACATCATAAATATTCATAAATTGTAATGAGCTTTTGCATTATTCAACAAACTTATTTATATTGTTTATATCTTTTGTTTTAGCAAATATTGTCATTAGCTATCACAATTTTTTTAATCATTATATTTATATATATTCCAACTGCCCGGGTTTATAGAGACGTTTTGGATTATAATGAACGTAATCTATGTATAACTGGTAAAATATAAGTCAATGATTTCGACACCACAAATTACTTTAAACCTTTAGTACATTTTTTAAAGATACAAAGATTGGTTTGGAAGTTTTGCTGCACCTGTAGAAATATATTACTAACGGGATAGCACATTCTTATCTTAACGGTGATGTTTATCGCAACCGTGAATTTAGATTCTATCCTGATAGACATATACTGTATATCATAATTATCTGCATTCATTATTTTGTACATCAGGTCGTTAGTGTTTTCATCTGAATTGTTGTACATTTGTCATTTCGGGGACTTTTAAAGCTGACTTTGCGGAATAGGTTTTGCTCATGCAAGAAGTGTAGAAGGTCTCACGGTGATTTATAGTTTTATTTCATTTTGTCTGGTTGATATCGATAGTTGTCTCATTGGCAATCATACCACATCTTCTTATTTTTATAATTATCGATTCACAAATTAACATTTTATAAAAGGTTACCAATTCAACACTGTAATTAGATCTTTGAATATTGTTTTATCGGTATAAATATTTATTTTTGTATCAACAGTTTAAACCCAACTAAATTAAATTGCTATAAACCTATGAACATTCATAGTTACCTAAATTTTAACATTTTGACGCTAAGTCCATATGATTTTGGATCGGTACTTATTGATATTTCAATCGTACATGACGTTTTTGTTAGTTGTCAAAAGCTTCGAACTAGCTTCAGTAACTGTGAGTACTTTGTGTCGTTTGTGTTTTTGTTGTTCTTTTTGCGTGCTTTGTATCATACGTATGAGTTTCATGTAATACAAAGCTTTTCATTTTTCATCATGTTTTATGATAATAGTCACTCCGGCAAAAGAGTGTCGGTATCATTGGGTAAGATTTCTTATTGTTTTCTTTTCGTATTCTTTAACTTTGTCCGAGCAATAACTTGTTTACATTTCGTCACAGACTTACGACATTTCGTATGAAAGTGAAAAAAAACTAATTAGACTGCATGTATGTCGCGAATGATCATACCATTTAAATGACATAGATCTTGAACTGCAGGTCTACCTGTTGGTCAAATCGTAGTTTTTGAAGACATTTGCTTGTCCTGTTTAAACATGTATCATCATTTGACACGCATGATGTTTCCTTGAATTTTGAACTTAATGTCAAATGTTGGGGGAATTTTCGTGTCTAAACCCCTACTATTGATCCTTTACAAAAAGCATTAGATATTCGGAATATTCATGCATCATTTCAAATTTGTTCAATTTTCAAGTGTAGCTATACTTGTTGTGATGACATGATACTACTGCTCGCAGCCGAATGCTAATTTTCATAATGATGTCGGAGGTGGGTATATGAGAACAAGATCTGAAATCAGTTTGACAACTTATTACCCAATATTCCGAACAGCCACACCCAGCCAACCACAGCAATGCTACAGCAGGGATTAAAAACATGATAGAAATTATCATTATCTTCATATTTTTATCACCGATGTCTCCAAAACACAATACAATTCCAATAGCTAATGAAGGGAGGACAATGGTTAATACGCAGCAGATCACAGGCCACCAGATATTTCTGCAATGCCTTCCAAGTACCAGATGTTTTGAGGAAATTGTCTTGATGATAGCGTTATACAGCTCAGAGCTAACCTGTGGTAAGATGCAAATTTAACATTAGATGAGAACACTATCATTGGTGAATATTTATGTATAATTTCTTTTATTATTATCGATGTGAAAACTACACAACATTTCACACAAGGAAACAATTTGAAAAGGTATTTCATACCTTTATATCTTTTTTTAAACAATTCAACATCATTACTACCACTTTTTCTTTTATTGTTTGAACAACTGGAATCATGCAAATTCCCCCTTTTTTCATTTATTCATTTTTTTGACACCTGACACTGAGGACCAACTTGGAACATTACATATACTGATGTATGAACTTGTGTAGAAATCTTACCATAACAGAAATGTTACCCGAAGTTTGGGATATGAAAAATATTAAGAATTGCCTCATTTTTGTCTTATCGAAAGATACCTTCAACATAGTTTATAAAATATGAAAATAAGTTGAGTCATGTTTGAAACGTCATACATACATATATGTGCTTACCAACGAACGGATAGACAGACAGGGTGACATCATAGAGGCATAGCCGACTAATAATCCCATAATGGACAGATTTTATAGCGTATAACCATATCAATTTGCATAATCTGTGCGATCAGACACATTATAACTTTTTACCCGTTTAAATAATAAATCATTTTCCCGTCTCGGAGTACCTTACGAACTGATGATGTAATGCAAATAATCATCAACACGATTTAAAGTAATCTTTACAAAGCCTCAGATCCTTCTAGAAATGTTGTCATATATCTGACTTTGTATTCTGAAATCATTTGCCCTATTTGATATTTTTATTTTCATCCAGGAATGATCTATAGATTGATTCAACTTTTGGAGAAAAAAATTAAAGAATAAAGTATTTAATTTTCCTCATTTTTACTGTTCTTTTATGTTTCAAACGAAATTACTTTCTTACGGAGCTTTATCAAATTTTTGTTAAATTGACTTTGACAAATCAGTGAAGTAGGAATATTCAGCATATAATAAAAGAGACGATTGTTTCTAAGGACATATAATAAAAGAGACGATTGTTTCTAAGGACACGAATGCCCCCGCTCAAGCTTCTCATAAGATGTGAAAATACTTTTGGAACAGACGTAAGGACGGACGACCAAGGGAAATCTTTATGTCCCCTTCGCCTAGCAGCGGGGCATACACATGTAATGTAGAAGAGTACGAAAATCATCAATAACCTATATCATTAGCAACGAACACACTTCTGTTTTAAATATAATCACCATACAATAAGCAATTATTACCTTCATTGGTGGTATACTTAGTGATTCTGGGACATACTTCCACCTGAAAACCGGTCCTCTACAACTGAAATGACTTTTCTCCTGATGAAGAAGATCTAGGTTCCTATTTCGGTTCACTGTAAGTAAATAAATATTTAATGTTATACAAACAGGATTAATTCATTTTCATTAGATATATGTTCATTGCATAGTATGTGATTGATACCATGTTTATTGTTTTTAAGTTATTTGGTTAATATTCTATATTATATGATCTGACTGAAATAGCTAAAAATCAGTCATAGACAATTTCGTTAATTTCATTTAACCAAATTCACCAATTCATGACTAACTTATACCCATACTAAAGCAATTGCAACTAACTTTTCAACAGGAAAGTTTGTTTTTTTCAGAATTAAGGTATTGACGACTTAAAGTCGTAAGTAAAATCACAAAAACACTGAAACCCGAGGAAAATTCAAAACGGAAAGTTCCTAATCAAATGGCAAAATCAAAAGCTCAAACACATCAAACGATTTGATTACAATTGTCATATTCCTGACTTGGTACAGGCATTTTCCTATGTGAAAAATGGTGGATTGAACCTGCTTTTATAGCTAGCAAAATCTCTCACTTGTATGACAGTCGCAGTCGAAAGATCCTGACTGCAGCTGTGATATTTCCCTCTTCATAGCTAACTAAACCTCTCACTTGTATGACAGTTTCAGTCAAAAGATTCTGACTGCAACTGTGTTATTTCCTTATTCATAATAACCATTGTTTTGACGTCAGCTTATTCATTTACCGTGGATTTTTTTTTCTAGAATCAACTCTTCCTAGATCTGTCGCTGAAATGGACTCAACAAAGTATATTCAATTGTTTCCATTGTGTGCCTAATTTCATTAAGTTTGAATTGGCCACTTTACTGATTTCGGTTCATTTATGGTATTAATTTAAAGCTTGTCATTAAATTTTGAAACTTGTATATGCCTTCTCTTGAAATCGAACCTCTCCTTGAAATTTGTATGTGTGACTGACATCAACACATCGACGAAACCTCTCGGCTACCAATGGCTTACATTTGGATTTCTATTATATTTGTATAGAAATGAACATATGATACACATCGGTACAAAAAACACACCTTTAGGTGTCAGACCATCAATTACTCCCTCCAATTTATAACGTATGTAAAAGTAGCCCTACTCTGACACAAAATAGTGCTATTGATGTCATTGTTTACTTAAACATACCAACAAATTTGCAGAAATGAAATTTTTGGTGAAAGAGAAATATGTTTAGACCATTTTGAGCCAAAATACACTTGTCTATCAGTTTGCATTAAAAATTCAGGATTAATGCGCTCCATGGTATTCTAATTTAAGATTTCAAGAAAACCAGGGGTTATTTTTGGCTGTGAAAATTGCAAAATTTGGTTGAACAGATAGGATTTTTTAATTAGTGGTCTGACACCTTTATACATACGTTATAGACAGTCATATAGTATAAGTATGTAGCCGCGAGGTTAAGATCCATGATTTATAGAACCAAGTTAGAAGTTGATACTACGGGTTTAGGTTCGAATCTATGTTTCCTCTTTTAATTGTCCCTATTCTTTAGTTTTTTCATTCTTCTTATTTTGTATATTATTGTGTATTTTTTTGTAATAAAAACGAGTTTTCCGCGTTTATATCTTTGATTTTCATTGACCTTTTCACGTATTTAAAAAAAAGATGTAAAGACTGTGAGGTCGTTTTAACAGAAAAAAATTAAAAAATAGTGAAAATAAAATAAAATTATTTGCCGAGCGCAGCTGGATACGACCCAGAGGTCCAACACTGAACATTTAGGGCAAAAATGAACACACTATTCAAGCTTGATACAGGTTCGAAATTGGTTATATGATTTGAATAACCTTTCAATTGAAGATTTCTTGCTGTTGTGTTATAAACTGTGCTGTTGCACAATACTTAGTAAATCTTTTTTCAGACTATATAGAAAGAATAAGCAAAATAAATTGTGACCCCAAATTTATATTTTGTGAAAATTGATAATTTCTTAAATCCTGAGGAAAAATATTGACCCTCCCCCTTTTTCCCTTTCAAAAAAGTATTTTTGAATATTTCTTTTTGCAAAATTTGGTACAATTTAAGAGACATCCATACACTTAAACACAAGCTATTGTCTGAAAAGTAGAAAATTGCTTGTTTGGTTCCTTTTTGGCCCCTAATTCCTGAACGGTTAAGGCAATAACCCCAAAAACTGATACTTGCGGTATTGAACCTTGTGGGAAAATTGCAGAGCAATCAAAATACTTATTCACAGGTTATTGTCATGAAACTTGAAAAATACTTGTTTTGTACCCCTTTTTGGACACTAATTCCTAAACGGTTAGGACCATCACCCCCAAAACTTCACGGTCCAAAATGATCAAATGCGAGGTAAGGTAAAAACCCGGGTTAACTCACCATTTTCTTCGGAAAATGTATGTACCAAGGAGTATGGCAGTTGTTTTTCACGTGCTCTATTGCTTGATAGTGTTTTTATTGACTTCCCATTACATAAACTACTTGAAAAATAATGGAATTGCCTATCAAAATCCGGACTGATTGAAAGTTTTAGGTCAACATTGTTACCAAAGAATAGAATGACCAAGGTAGATAACGATATGATCTTGTTTAAGCCAGGCACTCTAAGTATTTCCAAGCTATGAGTTTGATGCACGCGTTTATTCCATCAAGCTTAAAATAATGGATACCACAGATAAATTTAGTCTGCCTCATATCTCGACAAACATCTAGAAATTGTCAGTGAGGTTCGGTTGAGGACAAAACCTTACCACAAAAGGGATGCTTCCTATGTTACAATGTTCCATTAGCGCCTTTATTTGAAGTATATATCTCCTAGTTTAAAATAAATGTATAAGCTTCCGTTACCTTTGTAAACAATTTAACCTGTGGTTCCAAGAAGACTAATCACCGAATACACTTCAAAAATACCTAAGATCTCAACCAGTTTTATGCTGGTTTAATGATGCAGTGTTTTTTCGTTATATGCCATGACTAATTATTTCGTATGACCTATTGGTATCCTCCGGCTCTTTTTACTACTCAAGTCGTGTAATATTCCTTGAACTTTAACACATATATAAATATATGTTTCAGTTCAATTAGAATATTGAAGTCGCAAAGATGATTGATTTAAAATCATTTACATGCAAATAAGGTTCATGTAAGATGGTTTGGATTACATTTCCTTACTTCAATACACAATCGTCTTAAAAGATTATATATTACAAAATATGTAAAATAAATCATAATATTAGTATGTATGACAAGGTCAAAAAATTAGTTGAAACGTCTTTATCAGTAAATTGAATTGAGTTCTTGTTTTTTTTTTTATATACCGTCGCTGACTTTTGTCTCATCTATAATGGTTGCTGATAGAAATTCACGATGAGTTGCTTTCCTAATGATTATTTTAAATTTGAAAGAAAGCATCTAAAGACAATATGAATGACCAGGATCTAAGATTAGAGAATTCTCAATTATAAATATTTGATGGCAATGTAAGTTATATTAGTTACATCTTTAAATTGACAATGATGGTATGTTGAAAACAAAAGAGATGATTTCAGCTTCCCAATTGCGAACTGCCAATTTGTATGTAGAAATATTCCAGCAGCACCTGCTTACGGAGTATATATCTCGTAGTTAATACGATATTCAAAGGCTTGTATATCCTATCATGATTTTATAAATAGAGTGTTGCTGCACACAAGGAAGCTATTCAAACAAGAGTTTCCAGTGGTGAATTTCAAATATTCCCTTTGTAAATGTTGCAGAAACCATCACGATTGGTTCACAGTTATGCAATATTCACTTCGCAGATGAAAATGAATATGTTCCAATTGTCTCAACTAAAATTCCGTCCCATTTGTCCCCTGTGTTACCTGGCGATTTGACCTTATCACTGGGTTTGTTCTAAAATGACGAACTCGACGGTTGACACATGTGGGCCTGAGATCACCCCTGTTTTTGGTAGGGTTCGTGTTGCTCAGTCTATGGTTTCCTATGTTGTGTTTTGTGTACTGTTGTCATTATCTTTTAAGCCATGGCGTTGTCAGTTTATTGCGACATGTGAGTTTGAATGACACCTCTCTTTCATCGACCAATTTGTAATTTACTAGCTTACCTGCATCTCTCACCCGATTTAATGACAATTCGTGGTTATATTCTTGCCCTGCAAAGGATAAATAAAAAATCGTATGACAAAAAAGAAAACTATTTTTACAACTGTTTAGTACATGAGAATATTTTGTTTTGAATATGGGTCCAGAACTATTCCCGTCAATCTGAGACCGCACTAGGTAAATCGATCCTTTTAACATTTAACATAAAAAAAATACCAACTGTTACTTGTCCTTTCTGGAGATTTTTTCGTAATTTTGACCTTTATTGAGGATTTTCTTCCTCAGAGATTTCATCCTTAAAAGTATGCACATATTTTTTTAGGGAATGTTGCATTAAACATGTTAAATTCAATGGTCTATATGAAGCATTCCATATGAACATCCAACTTTTAACCGTGCGCTTTTTGAAAAGTGTTTACTCCAAACAAATGTTAGTAGAATATTCGCTTTGACATATGTATTATACTGGAGTCTTCATTTGGACATTTGTCCTATATTGAAGTCTCCATTTGGACATTTGTCCAATACATAGGTCTCAGTTTTGGACATTTGTCCTATATTTAAGTATCCATTTGGACATTTGTTCAATACAGAGGTCTCAGTTGTGGACATTTATCCTATATTAAAGTATCCATTTGGACTTTTGTTCAATACAGAGGTCTCAGTTGTGGACATTTATCCTATATTAAAGTATCCATTTGGAAATGTGTCCTATTTTAATTGACGTCTCCATTTGTACATTATCCTTTACATAGGATGACTTATCTATCTGAAACTTTATTGAATATCTTAAAATAGGGTTGGGCTCCATTTGAATTATGCGTTATTGTTTACTTGAACACTCCAGAAAATGTCATTTGCTAGGGATCTTCGGAATTCTAGATACAACCATGTCCTTTATAGTGACATGTATATCAGCCATTGACTACAATATAAGACATAACATAGCTAAACAGCTATAATGGATGATCTTTTCCTACAATTTTTATTTTGTTTTCTATTTTTTCTCCTTTCACCTATATTTAGGTTTCCTAATCATTTTTATATGTTTAAGTACAATAAAATAATATTATCCGTATGGATATTCCAATTAGCATCATTGCTTAATGTAACACTTTTTTGACATATTGATGATTTTGCAAAAAAGACAATCAGGGTCATGTATTTAAGGTGAAAGTGTAAGACAGAATACCTTCCGCTTCAATGGCTAATGCAAGCTTAGGAAGCCAGACATTCATATCTCCCATGCCGTTTATGTAGGTAAACGGTCGCAGATAGCCAGGTATCTCACATTCCTCCTTTAATACAGGAATTATGACATTTTCTTTCATTTCAGCTAACAACTTCAATATAGCGAATTCTACTTCATATTGACACCAGTAACTCTTATTATACTCCTGTGTTAAAATAAACACTGTTTTCGCCGAGTTGATCATAGCATATTCTATATTTTCCGTTATTTTCATTCCTGGAATAAAATCCGCTGAATGTTCGAAACATTTAAAATTCATTTTGTAAGTGTTGTATTACTGTTCTGACCCACAATCTGTCACTTTCGCTGTAGGATATAAACACGTGGAACTTCTTGCCATTCGGAACCTCCTTTCTTTCAACTGATCGTTGTTCGTCTATCTCAATTACTGTAGCCATCTTTTAGCTGTCTACGCTAAAAACGAAAACGGTTTTAATTGTCAATTCTATAAAGTATATTTCAATTACCCTTTATTAATCTGATCATGCGTATTTTCAAATATTCTCTTTTTTTTATTAAAGGATAGCTTAGTCAAAAAGTCAAGAGTTTATTTATTAAACGACAAAAACAAATGTCTGCCTCCATGATAATGTCTCAGTAAAGAGCCAGAGACATTGCATTACTGAAAAAAAATCAGGAGCCTGTAATTCAGTGGTTGTCGGTGTTGATGTGTTGCATATTTGTTTTTCGTTCATTTTTTTGTACATAATTTAGGCCGTTAGTGTTCTCGTTCGAATTGTTTAACATATGTCATTTCGGGGTCTTTTAAAGCAGGCTACGCGGTATGGGCTTTGATCATTGTTTAAAGGCCGTACGGTGAACTATAGTTGTTAATTTCTGTGTTCTGTGGTCTCTTGTAAAGAGTTGTCTCATTGGCAATCATACCACATCTTCTTTTTTTTATATATAATATTTATCAAAGGTACGAGGCTTATAATTTGAAAAGCCAGACGCACGTATAAGACTACATTAATGCTACATAACACTCACAAGTGACCTTCATATCAAAATAGTTAGAAAGCCAAACAAATACAAAGTTGAAGAGCATTGAGGACCCAAAATTCCCAAAAAATGTGCCAATTTCGGCCAAGATAATCTATGCCTAGGATAACAAAATCCTTAGTATTTCGAATAATTCATACTTTAGCAAACAGCAAATTTATAAAAATGCCCATATAATTGTTTTTCATGTCAACACCGAAGTGCTGACTACTAGGCCACTGATATCATTGAGAACGAAACGTCCATCAGAAGTGGCATGCGTCGACCCAGTGGTGTAAATAGTTATCAAAGGTACAAGGCGTATAATTTGATACGCCAGACGCGCGTTTCGTCTTCATGAGACTCATAAGCGACGCTCAGATCAAAATAGTTAGAAAGCCAAAGACGTATAAAGTTGAAGAGCATTGTGGACCCAAAATTCCAAAAAGTTGTGCCAAATACGGCTAAGGTAATCTATGCCTGGGATAAGAAAATCCGTAGTATTTCGAATAATTCATACTTAGCATACAGCAAATTTATAAAAATTACCATATAATTGATTTTTATGTCGACACTGAAGTGCTGACTACTAGGCTGGTGAAACGTCCACTAGTAGTAGCATCGAACCAGTGGTGTAAATGGTTATCAAAGGTACCAGGCGCATAATTCGATACGCCAGACGCGCGTTTCGTCTTAATAAGACTCATAAGGGACGCTCAGATCAAAATAGTGAGAAAGCCAAAGAAGTATAACGTTGAAGAGCATTGAGGACACAAATTTCAAAAAAGTTGTGCCAAAAAGGGCTAAGGTAATCTATGCCTGGAATAAGAAAATCCTTAGGATTTCGAATAATTCATACTTTAGCAAACAGTATATTTATTTATAGTGGATTGGGAAAGAAGTTATTGCAACTTATATTAATCCCTCTCCACTTTGCGGGTGCGAGTGCTGCCTTGTAGCGGCATTAGCCTACTCTTTTTCGAAATCTACAAGGGTGTCTTTTACGTGCAAGAGATATGGCTCTCTCTTAACACAGGTCAGCCATTTATCGTCCCCTTCCGACGGACTATCATCGTTTCTCAAGACCATACTCGCAAATGGTGTCGAGGGAGAGCCGAAAATATACATTTAGAATTCTTTTCAGCAAACAGATATACACGTAAAACCATGGTTGAAACAACTTACAAATATGAAGTTTTAACATTTTTTAATGAGAGATTATATTTAAAAAAATAGGAAAGGTGACCATGGAACACAGATGATGCCACTGCTTGCATTTAAAGTTGTAAAAAGGACATAAATCAGGAACTGTAAAAGTGATGCTACCCAAATTTGTACTTGATCTGAGTTTTTTTGGTAATAAGCATTGTGTATATGTTTCATATCATTTACATGTAGTTGAGGCAAACTAAATTTAGAGAAGAGAAACCAAAAATTCAACAATTTTTCCATTATAAATTAGCGTTACTCTAGAACAGTATAGGTGGCACCATTACAATTCAAACTTGATCATGTTTTGTGGTAATAAGCATTGATGTGTATAAGTTTCATAACATTTGGTTGAGGCAAACGGAAACGAAAAATCCCTCAATTTTTCTAGTTGTAAAGGGGCATAACTCTAGAACGGTAAAAGTGAAACCACCAAAATTCAAACTTGGTATGAGTTTTGTGGTAAAAAGCATTGTGTGTAACTTTCATAACATTTGGTTGAGGCAAACTAAAGTAAGAGAACGGAAACCAAGTAAGAGAACGGAAACCAATTTTGGGACGTACGGACGAACGTATGGACGTACAGATGGACAAGGGTAAAACTTAATGCTCACTCTACTACGGCGGGGCCAAAATCTAATTTAACATTTTATTATTATTTCAAGGAAAATAACTATCAAAATGAAAGGCGCCATAAAACTGATTACTTTCTACAATATGCAATCATTCAATACATGTAAATATTGATTATATACAATTTAGTATTGGTAGTGCAATTGACAAACTTAAACAAAACTAAATATTATTGCTGTAAACCTGCGAACATTCACGGTCCTGCATTCTGTCGATACCTATATTTCGGAATTGCACAATGTCATTTTTTTCTCTGATAGTTAATGACGTAAATATTTGAATGTCCCTTTGGTATCTTTTGCCTCTCTTTTACACTAAATCAATTAGATTTTGGATGTGGACTGACTGATATTTTAGTCTTTTCATCGACAATAAACCTATTATTCTAAAACCAGTTGTTGGCATGATACGGGTTATGTTCTTCTCGTATATTTTATGATAGTGTGATAAATAACAGGAATATCGTGCTTGATTTTGATATAATGAATACATAATTGTTCAATCAGTTTAATTGGGGTCTGGAGCTGGTATGTCAGTAACTGCTAGTAGTCCATTGTTAATTTATGTATCATTGCCATTTTGCTTCGTTTCTTTTGTTACCTTTTCTGACATTGGACTCGGAATTCTTTTAAACTGAGTTTTACTGTGCGTATTGCTGTGTGTTGGCATATTCTACATGGGCTACAGGTATAGAGGGAGGGTTGAGATCTCAAAAAACATGTTTAACCCCGCATGTTTGCGCCTGTCCCAAGTCAGGAGGTTCTTTATTAGTCTTGTGTTTTTTAAATCTTAGTTCATTTATATGTTATGGAATTTAGTATGACGTCCATTTTCACTGAACTATTACACAGGGGCCAGTTGAAGCCTTCCCTCGGGTGCTGAATTTTCTATCTGTGTTGAAGACCCATAGGTGGCCTTCAGCTGTTATCTGCTCTTTGGCTGGGTTGTTGTCTCTTTGGCAGATTCCCCATTTCCATTCTCAATTTATTAGATACATGATCTTTTTTGTAGCTGTTATTGACTTTGACTTACTTATAGTAACTGCGAGTACACTCAGATATGTACTTTGTGTACTTAGTGATGTTGTCAGTTGTTTTTGTGCTTTGTATCGATCTGTGGACCTGAGTATACAAAAAATGATAGATCGAGAACAATGGATTTAGTGATGCCTGTTTGAAAGTGAAGTTGTCAATGCTTATTTTAGCGACAGTAATTTATTCGTTATAGTATAATTAATCTATACTAGCATTCTGTGAGTATTGCATGGCAATACATGATAGTCCCCTACCGGTTACAAATTCATTGTAATGGAACGAAATTCTAACTTGATCTATAACTTGTCATGGTGTAAACTACATAAAAATATCAAGTCAAAATCTTCAAGCATGATGAAAAAAACTGTTGAAAACTGATTATTTAAGTGAATTTTCTCTGTCCAAAGACCATAACTCTTCGTCGGTAGGGGACTAATAAATCAAGACAGCACGATATACAAAATAATCTTGTCCATTAAAATACAGCACTGAAAGTATAAAAGGTTAACTCAAATGTCGCAAGTCCGTTCTAGCCTGCAATTTTTCATCATAGAGATGGTATATAATGGACTCTTGATATACCCCTGTACAATATACTGTTAATACTATTGCAAAATGAACTGCTCCTTCTCTTACCATGTCTAGATTGAGGTGCACATTCAACTATAGTGTATACTTCTTATTTCGACATTTTCTTTAAGTGTACGCAAAAAAAAAGATTTCTGGGATATTCGGAATATGAACAAATTTATTAAATTGGTTTTTACAAAACAGATTTAATACAAATTACATGTATGCACATGAAGCAAATTAAACAATTATAGGACAATCAGTTGTTTTACAATCGTTTAAATGTATAAAAAGAAATTCCCGAAATAATTTCTTTTTGTAAGATAAATTCATTTTACTGATGAGGAAATTGTTCATTAGCAATAAAATTTCTATTTGTAAGATAAATTCATTTTACTGATGAGGAAATTGTTCATTAGCAATATAATTTCTTTTTGTAAGATAAATTCATTTTACTGATGAGGAAATTGTTCATTTCCAATTTCCTACAAAACATGCTAATTTTCTTGCCATGAGTAGTAAGGGCGCGATCATTTGTTTTTGATGTGTGTGTGGTTAAGGGGGGGGGGGGGGGGGGATTGGTGTTAAGGGGTCGGCAGGACCATTTGATTTTTCGGATTTGAAAACGAATATGGTGGCCTGCCAATGACACGATGGAAATGAAAATTTCTGCATTACAAAATGAGGAAATAGTAGTGGACAAAAGTGAAGCCATGCAAATAAAAAGAATAAGCATGTTGTCCCCAAAAAATATACAGGTTTCGAATTAGAGATACAGAATATCCGTCAGGTTTCAAATTAAACACAATAATACGGTTCGGATGTACGGTGAATACAATGTGTACTTGTTTACTCATTTTCGAATCAATGTGTTTCCCTAAAAGATAAAACCAGTAAAAGTCTGAAATGGCCTATATCTTTACTCGGCTGTTCTGATTTTTACTCGACCAGTCCTGAATCGGTATTGAATTTAACTTGATATTACTCTTACAGTCTTAACCCATTCTCGACCTATTTTTTTCTGTCTGAACTATACTCGACCAGTCTTAACCATACTAGACCTAATAACCTCTACTTTTTTTAAATTTTAACTGTTTAAATCATTTTCTTTTAAACTGATAGGACAACAGCCACAAAAGAATAGTGATATATATATATACATATATATATATATATATATGTAAGACTCAGATCGACGTACGATCTCTAATCGACGTCAAAATCTGACGTCACAATAAAATAACATTCCAAATCGATGCCCAATTTCATGTTTCTCTAATCGACGTCTTTTTTGTTGTTCTCAATTCAATGTCCATTTTTTTGTCTTCTCTAATCGACGTCCGTTTTTGTAGACTTGACATAGGCGGATCGGGGGGGGGGGGGGGGGGAGGGCTTTGGCTGGGGGCCCGGGCACCCCCTTTTGTTGGAAAAATTTGGTTGAATATATAGGGAACCACTGAAGCGTGACTTGAGCGGGCTCCCCCCCCCCTAAGGTCAGTCACCGCCCCTCTTACAAAAAGTTCTGGATCCGCCACTGCTTGTCGTAGTGAAAGCGCATCTTAATCAAAGAGTGGGTTAAACCTAAAACTCAAAAATTGTTAACAAATATAAGACCAAACTAGTTTGAGCTTTCTAAAAGCTATGAACTACTTCGCACTATCATACTTTAAGGTAATATCTTTGCATGTAGTTGTTGTTTTGGTATTGGAAATGTGGTATTTTTAGATATTGATTGATATAAAATGGATGTCATAGACTTGGAATATCAATTTGTTCACTTTACTTGTTGAAATTTTAGACATTTACAAATAAAGACGACTGTGGAGGTGTGCCTCTCTGGGGGTGTATCTAGATTGCGGCAGAAGTTATAAAATACAGATAATGCATTTTTGTAAACATCGTATAGGAACATTGTTTAGGAAAACAAATCGTGCATATTGCAGATTAACAAAGCAAATAAACACGTATTAATAATTGATATTTCAATATTGAATTTCAGTGTGCAATATATGCATAATTAAACGAACATGAATTAATGACCGTTGATCGGAACTGAAATACACATAGTTAATTTCACGGCATTTGATGTCTTATCCTTAGACGGGAAAAGTCTGTAATTCTTGATCTCATTTAAGCCAAAAGCTATTGCTATGTCTCAGCCGCATCATAAAGCAATCAATCAGAATCTATATATGATAAGCAATTATTTTAAAATGGCGTGTATGTCGACTGAAACTAATAGCTCCGCACCGTGATGCGAAGCAACCATGATAATACTTTTCAATAAATGGGCGTACGTTTTTATTCTTTCAATTGCTTAAGTCTGTATCCTGCCCTCTAGATGTCTTTCGATGGTCTTTAATTTGTTGTCTCATTGTCGTACAATGAATATCCAGATTTATTTCGATGTTATCAATCAAATTATTGTTTTTTTTTTCAAAATTTAACACTATGAGGTATGTGGAAAATCTGGATTGAGAATATTTTTTTTGGTCATCTGCTTGACCACAATTTTTTTTCCATTAATATTTTTTTTTATTAGGAAAATACTATACCCCAACCCCCTTTTGAAGTTAAATGGTCGTTCAAATATATTAAGAAAAAGGTAAACGAAAGTTCGAGAATATGAACGTCTTTCGCCAAAATATTAATATGCATGTACATGTAATAGTACTATGATGGCGGTCCTTGTCTTATTGTCATTTTCTGAAGTTTGTTCTTTTATTTTGATACCAATATATGTCAGTTATAGTTTCTGTAATCTACTTCACAAAAAGACAAAACAATACAGATAACATAAACAATGATCAATTTGAAAATAAATCAAGATTGGAAAATAAATGATTCAATGAAATTAGACATCGCAATGAGAGGAGATCCAACCATCGATCGGACGTCTGTTTTGTGATCCATAACTTCACATTGGACGTCGATTAGAGGGTTAAAATATGGGACACTGATTATAGAACGTGACGTCAGATTTTGACGTCGATTTGAGGAACGGACGTCGTTTAGACACCGAACGTCGATCTGAGTCTAACATATATATTTAAACAGATTTTGGCATATTTACTTGATTTTATCAGATTTATCAAATCGAGATAGTTAAATTATCTAACTTTAAAGATTTAGAGTTCTGTTAAAAAAAAAGATTTAGTTTTACAAGAAAACCACTCCTATATTGAGGGTTATATAACCTTATTAATGTGCTTCCTGTTTGGCAAGTGTTTTTTATAAAACAAAACTTAATTTTTCCTAAATTCCTTAATAAAAACTATATATGTTTCATGTTTACATTCGATAGTTATTTAAATATCTTCTTAATGAGGTAACAAAAGCTAACAAATCACTGAAATTGTTTAACCGTATTTAACAAAATCGTATAGACGTACTAGGCGGAAACATCTATTTAGGCAGTTTTAAAGATATCTACAAATTTGCATTCTACCCTCACACTATGTTTGATTGGAATTCACTACATGAAGCAATAGGTATGTCTGACACCCTGGAATCCTTCAAAAGTGGCATATCAATTGACTCAAACAGTTGAAGGACCCACATCAACTTATTAAACTACCAAGCAACTGTACATAATGTATATATGTTATTGTAAACTATTTTTCTTTATTATATTAATTTTAATTAAGTCCATATACATACAACTGTGGGCGTTTTTCAATAAAAATGAGAATTCTTGTCCCAGCCACTTTAAAAAAAATGTTTTTGATCTTTACAAGTAATTTTTGTACATTCAATACATTTAATTACATTTAACTTTTTTTTTTTTGCAAAGAAACATACTATTTTTAGAGGGATTAATAAGATATTCATTCCTGAATGGTTAAAAATAACCAAAATGGCATGTCCCCAAGTCTCCAATTCAACATTCACACTCTAAAATATTGTAAAAAAAAAGGTAGAAATTAATGTTATTTTTCCTTAATATAAGTTCTATAATTATTCAAAAGTATGTTTAGAGCCAACATATTTTAATAAACAGTTTTTGACAAAGGATTTTTGATTTTAGCAGGTGTGTCCCTGACAAAATGTTCACTACGAAACGAAGTCATTAAATTTGCGAATAAGCAGTTTTATATAATCAATGTTTGCAAGAAATGGACTGGATATAAACATTAGGGTCTTACAATAGAAGTGATGCTTTTATAACGGCAGTTAAATTGTTGGCAAAAAAAATGAGCACATCAAATGGACCAGCGTGATACCGTATTTTTTCTTATGTCCACTACAAAACAGGTCAAATCTCCTTCAGTTTCTGGTTTTAAAATTAGGAACAAAATATCAGTGTACAGCTTAGTATGTGCTTTGATTAATAGAATCATTTTTGTTACTATTGCAATATAGGGATTGTGAAAAAAAAACACATGTGAATATGTCCACTACGTAACGGTCAACTACGAAACAAGTTTGGGAGAAAAACGTTTCGTAATAGACACTACCACTACCATGCAGTCGTTTTCTACTCTTTTTTCAATTATATTCGTGCAAAACAAATGAC